AAAATAATTTTTATTGTAAATTAGGTAGGGGCTCACATTTCAGCACATTAACTTTACATTCAACAATCTAACCCACTCATCCAGCCCTCTAGAAGACTACAGCTTCTATATACTCATCTTACAATCATTTACCAGATTCTCATCTGCTCTATGTTTGTTTTTTGTTTTTTTAAATCATTTTATTAGGGGCTCATACAACTCTTATCACAATCCATACACACTTCAATTGTGTAAAGCGCATTTGTACATTCATTGCCCTCATCATTCTCAAAACATTTTCTCTCCACTTAAACCCCCGGCATTAGGTCCTCATTTTTCCCCTCCCTCCCCACTCCCCCCTCCCTCATGAGCCGTTGATAGTTTAGAAATTGTTATTTTGTCATATCTTGCCCTGTCTGACGTCTCCCTTCACCCACTTTTCTGTTGTCCGTCCCCCAGGGATGAGGTCACATATAGTTCCTTGTAATCGGTTCCCTCTTTCCTACCCACACTCCCTCTACCCTCCCTGTTTCGCCACTCACACCACTGGTCCTGCAGGGCTCATCTGCCCTGGATTCCCTGTATTTTCAGTTCCTATCTGTACCAGTGTACCTCCTCTGGTCTAGCCAGACTTGCAAGGTCGAATTCGAGTCATGGTAGTGGGAGCGGGGAGGACACATTTAGGAACTAGAGGAAAGTTGTATTTTTCATCAGTGTTACATCTCACCCTGACTGGCTCATCTCCTCCCCAAGACCCCTCTGCAAGGGGATCTCCAGTGGCCTACTAATGGGCTTTGGATCTCCACTCCGCACTCCCCCCCATCATTCACTATGGTAAGATTTTTTGTTCTGATGATGCCTTATACCTGATCCCTTCGACACCTCGTGGTTGCATAGGCTGGTGTGCTTCTTCCATGTGGGCTTTGTTGCTTCTGAGCTAGATGGCCGCTTGTTTACCTTCAAGCCTTTAAGACCCCAGACGCTGTATCTTTTGATAGCCGGGCACCATCAGCTTTCTTCACCACATTTGCTTGTTCACCCGCTTTGTCTTCAGCAATTGTGTTGGGAAGGTGCTGCTCTGTGTTTTTTTAAATCTACCTATCTTCAGTTTCCTGGATATACAAGCATGCCATTATTAATAATAATAATGCAAAACAAGACTTCCATATTTCTAAAGTGTTTGCCAATTATTTCACTTTCTTGTCTTCTTTTTTGAATAGTGTGGGCCAATCCTGACATCTCCCAAACAGAAGTTATGACTCTTCTGAAGTGGAAACAACAATCAACATCAAGAACATTTTCTTTATCCCAAAGAGCGCCCCCATGCACCTTTGTAGTCAACCTTTCTCCTTTTCCAGTTTAAATAAGAGAGGTGCTTCATTATAATGGAACCCCGATGTTAGTATTTGTTCACATTCTGTACAGAGGCCATATCTCTATAGTTCTTCTCCGTGATCCCAGCACCTAGCAGAATCCCTGGCACATCCAGGTCCTCCATCCTTGCTGAATTAAACAGTGAAGAGTGAAAAATATGAACCAATCAACCAACCAATCAGTTCACCTTGGGGTTTGGCCTTATTCCTTTAGGCTCCCTGATTCCATTGGCTTTTTTTTTGTATCCCTAGTCTGCTTTCTCCTTGACTCCCATTCATGAACTACGCCTGCCTACTCAGAATCCTGTTGGTATAGTGAGCTACTTCTTGGGTTGCTAACTGCAAGGTCATCCGTTCAAAACCACCCACTGCTCCATAGGAGAAAGATGCTTTGTATTTCTGTAAAGAGTTACGGTCTCAGAAACTTCCAAGGCAACTCTACCTTGTCCTATCGGAATCAAGTTGACGGCAGTGAATTTGATTTCGAGTTACTAGATCTACGGGAGCCCTGGTGTTGGGCTGCTCACTGCAAGGCCAGCATTGTGAAACCACTAGCCAATCCTGACGGGGGGTGGGATGAAGCTTTCTGCTCCTTTGAAGATTTACAGTCTCAGAAACCCACAGGGCCAGTTCTACTCTGTGCCTTGTAAGGTTGCGATGAGTCAGACTTGACTCAATGCCAGTGAGTTTTAAGACTGGGAGATCTATCCATTGCCCATAACTGCAACTCTTTGCTTATTGGGTCTTTCCTTTGAAATTCAACTACAAAGAGTGGGTGCTGTCTGATGGTCGAGAGACAGCTTAGTAAAAACAAGAAAGGTAGCTAGCTGTTCCCTGTAGTTTCCCATGGAAACAGAGTATCAGCAAGGAAAAACAAAGCAGGAAGCAAGGGAACCAGACCCAAGGGTCGGAGCTGAAGTAGCCATCTGGAGTGTCAACTCGGGAATGGCTAGGTCAAGGCGGTAAGTGGGATCTGTAATGGATCAAAAGTCAGAGGAGTTGAAAAGATCCCAGAGAGATACAGTGAGGCCGGGAACCTAAAAGTGTCATAAATTGGAATCCCCGAACATGTGGGGAAAGGCTTTTCTTTGTTCTGTGACTGCAGCCCCAATCAATGTCTTAAAGATACCACATGAGGATGGATGGTCAAAGAACTAAGGACCAGAAGCTAAAATGACCAAGATTCTACCTCAGAGCCAACCGAGAGGGAGAATGATCTGAGTTAGGGCTTCTGCCATCCCAAACTGTGAAAACATAAAGTTTGTTTCATAACGCTACTCACAGTGGTATTTCTGTTACAACAGCACTAAGATACTAAGACACTTACAACCTTTTCCAGGATGCCCCACCAGGAATCTAGTCTAAAAGCTCTTAAAGGAACAGAAGTGAAGCAAGGAAAGGCCAATCATCTACTGCCAGCTTACTGTCTGTGCTCTCCCTGTCCTCTGACTCCATCATGCACTGCAGAAAGACCTCCCCAGGGCTCTTATTTTGGAGGCCATGTGACATTCTCAGTTCCCTCCAGGTGCAGCCTGAACTACCCATGAGTTAATGACCTGCAGTTTCAGAACTGATCTGCTCACTTGATCCGAACTACAGAAAAAGATGAAGTTGAGCCGTGAAGGACAGAACAAAGAAGTAACTCAACTTTTTCTTTAAAAATTAGCATTTTAAAATGCAGGGATTTACAATTTCTGAATGTAATTCACACTGTAGTACGCGTCAAAGGAGAGAGGGGGATGAGGGCAAGAAAGAGCAAACAGCATGCACAGTAAGCTCTACTTTGCTTAGTAGTACCAAACCCAGGTCATTTGGGTAGATGTAAATAAAGGACCACAAGGGGTAATCACCAACCACAGAATCAAGATAGGCAAGACAAATAGAGGAAGTTTATGACAAGCAGTCACTGAAAAGCTTGCCTTCAGGAATTCAGGTGATGGGTCTCTAAAAACAAATTCCAAGTTCAGTTTTCCTAACAGAAAGCAACACAGAAAGCTGGTGTGCATAGCTGGGGTCCGGGGAGGTGTGGGGCAAATCAAGATAAGGGCAAGAGGTTGAGCTGTGAAAGGCAGACCAAAGCAGTAACTCAACTTTTTCTTTAAAAATAAAAAAAAGTGGGGAGGGAGGGGGAAGGAGGAAAATGAGCTGATACCAAGGGCTCAAGCAGAAAGAAAATGTTTTGAAAATGATGGTGGCAACGTATATAAAGGTGCTTGACAGAATGGATGGATGGATGGAGATAACTGTAAGAGCCTCCAATAAAATGATTTTTTTTTTTTAAATAAGAAGAAAAGGTATTTTAAACTGCAGGGATTTAAGATTTCTGAATGTAATTCACACTCTGGTATATGTCACAGCTCGGCGAGAGGGGTTTCCCCACAGAATAGTCACCTGGTTTATTCTCATTCTGAACAGTGACAGGGTGTCTCAGTTAAGTTACACTCCTGCACTTTTCTGATTGGCAGCACCCCAGGATTTGCTTTCAACACTCTCAGGTGCATCCTCCTGCCTTAGTTAAACGACTCAGCTTCACGCCTTCATTTTTCAAAGCCAGAATGAACTTTAAGACCACGCTTTCTGTCTCACTGCAGGGTCTCCAGGACACCGTGTACCGCAACTGCCCTTTCGGAGAGAGTCGAGGGCATCGATGTGGTTCACGATTGGCTTCAGCGAGGGGGAACGAGTCCATCCGTTCTGGCTTCTGGGAACCGAATCAGGGAAAGGCAATGTAGGCTCAGGTTGGCCAAGTGACGCAGGAAAAACCAGATTCGGAAACGCGTGCCCCAGGAAGATGGAAGATTGGATCCCCGGGGCACAGGGCGGAGGAGGCTTGTCAGGGCCTTCTTTTAAAGACCGTGTACACTTCGGGTTTCCTGAATAAACCCACATAGTTAACGCAAGCCTAGGGAGCGGTCGTGTCCAAAACACAACAGAGATAGCACAAAACCTTTCTGGAAAGAATGGGGTGGGGGGGTGAGGGGGGAGGCCAAACCACGCAGTGGGCCGTAAACTACAGTTCCCAGCATTCATTACGCTACACGCCCGGAACTGTAGTCTGTAGCCTTCGTAGCTAAGAACGCCCGGGGTTGTCAACTTCTCACGTGTTTCTCTTTCTTGAGAAGCTCTGCCAAGTACAAAGCTAAGCGCGAAGAGCTGCGCTCGACTCATTCCCAACGTAATTCCAAGCGCAGACAGGACCAGGAAAAAGAAAGCGTTGCCGTGGATACCGTTTCCCTTGGTCACAAGTCAACGCTCTCTAGGAACCGGAAGTAGTTTCCCTGCGACCTCTCAAAGGATGAAGGTGTTCCGCGATGACGTTGACTGGGCGGTTTCCGTTAGAGGCCGCAGATTCCCAGGCAAAGGGGTGGCCCTGCGTGTGAGGGGCCCGCGGAGCCATTTGATTGGAGGAAAGCGGGTACGGATGACCAATAGGGAGGAGCCACGCTGCGGGCAAGGGACGCCGCACCTGGACAGCTCCGATTGGTGGCTGGCGGTCCCCCCCCACGAGTCCCTATTGGGCACACAAGGTGCGTGGTGCGGCGTGATTGGCGGGTTCGTGTTTCCCGTCCCCCGCCCGCGAGGACTGGGGGTGAAAAGCGCCCGAGCAGCGCGGAGGGGAGTGGGCGGACCGCGCGGTTTGAGGTGTGAGGACCTGAGCCTCGGGGTGGGGGTGGAGGCGACTCCAGTGGTCAAAAGGGACTTGGGAATCTCTGTCGCCGTGCGCCATGAAGGCCCTCTGGGTGCTGGGTCTGTGCTGCGTACTGCTGACCTTCGGTGAGTGATCCCGGGGAGCGGGCGCCCCCCTGACGCCTGCCCGGCCGTAGCGCAGCCGCTTCTCGAAGGTTCTGGAGGCGTTGAACCTGGGAGGGGGGCAACCGAGACCGTGACGGGCCGAGGGCGCCAATCCCCTTTCCCGGAAAAATACTCAAGGAGTCTAATTGACTCTCTTCCAGCGGAAACAAAAAGAGCCTATTGGTTTAAATCCCTTGCTGATCTTGTAGTGTCCGTCAGCCTCCCGGTGTGGGGCCTGGCCTCGCCTCTCTGGAACTTCGTCGCTCCGTGGAATATTTACTGCCCTGGCCCCTGAGGACTTTAGCCGTTCGCTGCGACCTTTGTCCAGCCGAGTTGGAGGACCCCCCAGCTCCCGCGAGCGCACGCTTTCTTTCTTCGATTCTGGTCTCTGGGAGCGCGGGGCCTTGGACCCGTCCCAGGGGAAGGGCATGTCAGCGTGTTTGATTCCGTTTTGCTAGAGAGAGATCCTTTCTTTGCCTCTCCCTGGGCTCTAGTCTCCCCCCACGGGGTGGCGGGGGGAGTGAGGGGTTTCAGTTCCTGTCTCCCCAGAGGTTGTTGCCCACACCCCGTTTGTGTTCCGATTTGTGACAACGGAGGCCTGGCTTTGGCCTTGGCCAGTTTGGAGCTCTTGGCCAGCGCGCAACACGTGTGGATGTAGAAGGGGCCTGGTATCAATCGCCAAATGGGGGACGGTGTTTTTAAAATTTTATATGGGCAGGAGGAGCAGAGTTTTTTTTTTTTTTTGAGGAGCAGAGTTTTTAGAAGGTCTGGCTGCCCCCATATTTCACCGGGGCGTGGTGGGGGCGGGGTGTGAAGCTCAACATCCAAACTTGAATAAGAAACTGCTGACCTGGCTTTGCAGTTGAGTGTTTAAACTAACATCCAGTCTTTCCTCGCCACCACCCCTTTTTGCCCATGGAATTTTGCCACTCCTGCTACCCAGAGCCCCTTTTGACTTTCTCAAATTAACAATATTTCTTTCTGGTGTTGAATCTTCCCTCAGGGTCAGCCCGAGCAGATGAAGTCGATGTGGAAGGTACGGTAGAGGAGGATCTGGGTAAAAGCAGAGAAGGCTCTAGGACGGATGATGAAGTAGTACAGAGGTTTGTGCTCCTTTGAAACAAGACATATAAACCCTGTGACTTTGTCATAAACACTGGGATACAGTAGTGTCTGATGGCAGGGATTCTCGAAGGGGACTAGAAAAAGTAGTGTTTGTTGGTTAATCCCAAATCAGAGGGATAAAGCGTTAAGACCCTGGGTTTAAATGCCTAGACATGGTCAGAGAGCAAGTCGTAGGGATTGTATGCCTATCTGTACCTAGGTATGGTTGTATGTATATGTGTACCGAAGTGCCTCCTGATTCCCAGTATATCCATCATCACCTGCCTCCAGAAATGAGTGATCGAAATTGAATTAATTCCTTTGAGAATAATCTTTGTTGATTATGTTGTGGGGTAGGCGCCCCACAAACTTCCGAGGACCTACGTAAGGACCTCCCAGTTGGTTTTGTCCTCCCCGCAGTTTGTGTTTATATACCTAGGAGTTTAAGTTTAAAAGACGGGATTCTGCCTGTTGAGCTGTGGTTTGTTTTTACTTTTGCTCGGACCTCGGCTTCTTGGCAGTGTGGTAGACCTGACCATGGAGATTCAATAAGTTCTGCCTTTGTTGTTGAGTAAAGTTGGGCTAAAAATTTCCAGCCAGTTTTAAAAACTGATTATTTCTAGCTGAGTATTAAAGGTAAGCTACTCTGGTAAAATAATCATGAGATAAGGGTTAGTTGTATTTTGTAAAGGTTCTCATTTTAGCTTTGTAACCTCGGGACTGTCATCGAGTGCTGCTGCTTATCCTCTCATCACAGCTGGGATGCTTTTGTAGGGAATTAAGCAAGTGACATTCGCTTATCTAACTGATTTCCTTAGAGAGGAAGAAGCAATTCAGTTGGATGGATTAAACGCCTCCCAAATAAGAGAACTTAGAGAGAAATCTGAAAAGTTTGCTTTCCAAGCTGAAGTGAACAGAATGATGAAGCTTATCATCAACTCACTGTATAAAAACAAAGAGGTAAGGTAGCCTTTCATCTCTGTCCATAGCACACGTGTCTGCACTCATAGTAAATATATTTTCATCGTAATTCCACCAAACTAGTTAGTGAAGTTTAAATAACCCAGCTTGAATAAGGATTGCTGCTAGATACATACCTGTTGGGGGAGATGATGGGAAATGTTTGACCCTTTTCCTCTACAAGGAGCCCTGGTGGCATAGTGGTTCCATGTCGGACTGCTAACCTGAAAGGTACCAGTTGGAAACCACCAGTGGCTCTCCAGGTACATGATGAGCTCTCTGCTCCCTGAGGAGCTAGTCTCAGGCCCTCACAGAGGCAGTCCAACTCTGCCCTCCAGGGGCACTGTGAGTCAGAAGTGACTCCTTGGAAGTGAGTTTGGTGGTTTTGTTTGTTGGCTTCCTTTCCAAAGGACCCCTGGTGTTGTATGTAGTGGGTTACATGCACATTAGGCTGCTAATTGCCAGGTGAGCAGTTCAAACTCACCAGTCTTGCCATGGGAGGAAGATGAGGCTGTCTTTTCCCATAAAGATGGATAGTAGGGGAAACCCTAGGGAGTGATTCTACTCTGCCCTGTAGGGTCACCGAAAGTCAGAAAGGACTCGATGGTGGTCAGCATAGTGTTCCTCTCCACATAATGTTCCTTGCCTGCTAAGTAGTTGTTGGGTCTTGAGGATAGTCCCTCAAACTGAGCGTCACGTGTTGCAGACATAAAAAGCCCTGGTAGGAGACCAATGGGACTTTTATCAGGTATCCCTTGTAGCAACCATGGTCCTTTGTGTAAGGAGCTATATCTCCTTTTACCAAGACAGTGCTAGAAGGAATATCGTGCCTTGGGTGAAGAAGAGAACTAAAGTGAATTTGACATGCGATTCTTATGTGACTTGAGGCTAACCTGTGTCCTAAATATGGTTTCCACTTAGATTTTCTTACGAGAGTTGATTTCAAATGCTTCTGATGCATTAGATAAGATAAGGCTAATATCCTTGACTGATGAAAATGCTCTGTCTGGAAATGAAGAACTAACAGTCAAAATCAAGGTGAGCTTGAAAACTTTTCCTTTTTTAAATTTTTTTTTTAAGTTACAGGACTCCTTAGAGATAGGGAATCTGGACAGGCCACGTTCAGCTAGGTGATGTTACAGTTACAACTCTCAGGCATCAGAGGCTTACATCAGGAGTCTACAGCTTTTGGTCTGTGGGCTCAATCCATACTGGTTCCTGTTTGTTTTGTATCATTTTACTGGGGGCTCATACAACTCTTAATCACAATCCATACATACATCCACTGTGTCAAGCACATTTGTACATTTGTTGCCATCATCGTTCTCAAAACATTTGCTTTATAAATTATTATTATTTTGCCATATCTTACACTGCCCGATGTCTCCCTTCACCCGCTTTTCTGTTGTCCATCCCCCATGGAGGAGGTTATATGTAGATCCTTGTAGCCTGTTCCTCCTTTCTACCCCACCTTCCTTCAACCCTCCTGGTATCGCTCCTCAGCACTGGTCCTGAAGGGATCATCTGTCCTGGATTCCCTGTGTTTCCAGTTCCTATCTGTCCAATAAAGTTTTATTGGAACAGAGCTATGCCCATCTGTTTATGGATTGCTATGGGTTATGTTACAGGATCCCTGGTGTCATAATAGGTTATAGCATTGGGCTGCAAGCTAGAGTGTCAGCAGTTCAAAACCACCAGCTTATCCATGGAAAAAAGATACGGCTTTCTACTTCTGTAAAGACTGAGTCTCAGCAACCCACAGGAGGAGCACTTCTCCTCTGTCCTATCCGGTTGCTGTGACTTGGAGTGGACCAGTGGTAGTGAGTGAGCTTGGCTCGAGTGTTTGGGATGGGCTGCTCTTGTGCTGGCACAGCAGAGTTGCATCATACCCGAGAGTCCACAAAGCCTAAAATAGTCACAAGCTGGCCCTTGACAGAAACGGTTTGCCAACTCCCGGCTGAAAGCATCAACCAAAGGCTGCCCATGGCCTCCGCTCCTTGTCATCCTCGCAACAGGAGCATGCAGATTGAGCAGCTGCCATCTGGAGTGTAGCTGGTTGCCATGGTACAGAGAGCTCTGGAGGGTCTCACACCGATTAAAGGCTCCAGCCTGGAAGCAGCACTGATGACTTCCACTTGTGGCTCATTGGCCAGAACTAGTCATGTGGCCTCACCTGAGTATACCTGGCCTACGAGCAGTCCTGTGCTCCTGGAAGGCTGAGCGCCCCAATGTTTGTAGCAGTCCTTCAAGTTTGGGATCCCTTTGCTTTCTATCAGAGAAATGAGCAAAACATGACACTGTAGTGTGTGTTTTTCACCTCCTTTCTCTATATTGGCAGCACTTTGTAGCAAAGTGTCAAGCCTCAGAGTTTTGGTTTTTAAATTTTTGCAGTTTACCTGCACAGTTCCGGTGAAGCAAGAGTTTTTCATCTAATGAAAAATGCTTATACTTTAAGGTGTGTACTTCCTGAACGTGTCATTGATTATTACATAGAGGAATATAGCTCCGTCCAACTTGCTGTGTGAGACTTGCTATAGTCCAACACGGATAACTTCTTCATTTCTTTCTAGCTCAGCACTTACTTGGCGTACCATGGTAAGCAAGTGTAACGCTTGTCCTTGTCTTGATTTTAGTGTGACAAGGAGAAGAACCTGCTCCATGTCACAGACACAGGTGTGGGAATGACCAGGGAGGAGCTGGTGAAAAACCTTGGTACCATAGCCAAATCGGGGACCAGCGAGTTCTTAAACAGAATGACTGAGGTACAAGAAGATGGCCAGTCGACTTCGGAATTGATTGGCCAGTTTGGTGTCGGTTTCTACTCTGCTTTCCTTGTAGCAGATAAAGTTATTGTCACGTCTAAGCACAACAACGACACCCAGCACATCTGGGAATCAGACTCCAATGAATTTTCTGTCATTGCCGACCCAAGAGGAAACACTCTAGGACGGGGAACCACAATTACGTGAGTATTAACTAATTTGTACGTGGGCTTCTTAATTAGAATGAATCGTTTGGGGTGTGGGTTAGAGAGAAGAGTTAGTAGATTTAAGAGGCTTGAAGGAAGACCTTCAGTTCCTGTTCTGCCTCTTTGGTTAGACATGTTAGTATTTGGATTGAGAACTCCTTTTAAGCCTTTCGCTGTTTGGATTGATGACACAGAACTGATGCCCAGCAGATAAGCATCTCTTGATACTTGTCACACTGAAAATAGTGGGGCTTTTTGACACACACACCCTTTTTTAAACCGTTCCATTTCAGAGGTGACTTGCCCAGCTCTGTTTACAGTGCTCCAGTTCAAATTTTTCCCAACTTGCAGGGTTTTAAAAGGAAAGAAGCATGTAGCTATTATTCTGACCAATTCATGCTAGAAGATAACATTTCCTGTCTTAATTGCCACAGATGGTCCCCAGCTTAGGTCTAATTTAGGATTTTTGCTAACTTGTTATTAACATTCACATCTCCAAGTTTCATGGGAATTATCAGTTACTAATAGTTATGTCTTAGTGCCTGCCCTCTGCATAGCACACTGGCTGGAGGTTAGAGAACTAGAGATAGATCAGATTTCTTAGGTAGAAAAAGAGAAAAACGATGCTCCAAAGAGTTTGAATGTTTTAGGATGGAAAAAGAAAGGGGAGAAGTTATCTGGCACTAGAACAGGTGTGTCCAAGTAGCATGTATGTTTGATCAGTAAATGAAGTTGATGAGATTTGGGTACCTGTTACGATGTTAAGCATTTAGGACTGTAGTGAAGGATACATTCTCATACAGTGAATGATGAGAACACTGAAATAATATCAGACTGACAGGTGCCGGAGAAGAACCCGGGACACTTTATTTCCGTGGGGAAACAGATTAGAAAACCCTTTGAGAATAGGGATAGGTTAGGTTGAGAACCTGGAAGGAAACTCACTTACTCGAACAAGCAAGACTTACCTACAGCAAGAGCAAGTGCTTGAAAACCAGGGGGTAATTGTGGCCAGAGGAAATAGAAGCAAAGGTGGGGGGTGAGGGGTTGCTGTGATCAAGAACTTGGCCTGTGTGACCTCATCTTACTGAAATCAATAAAATAGAAGGATGCTTTCAGCCAATTCAATGCCCACTTCCCCCTTCTCTTCCCACCTCTGAATTAGCTGCTGCTTGTATGCTTCGCAGAGCAGCTGTGAGGGCTGACGGAAACAATAGAGCGCGCTTGGCATCCTGTATTGTTACTTCCCCTCCGACACCCGCGGTGCTCTACATTGTGTCCCTGAAGTTGTCCATCTGCTTGTGATCTGCTGCCTAGTGATGAGCGTATATAAACCCCTTCCCGAACCTCTTCAGGGCAGGAGATGAGTCTATTGCAGGGGCTCTTTACAGTTGAGCTCCTTGAAAAAGCCTACACTTCGCTGCTACTTTTATCTCTAGTCATACCTTGTGGCTTTAAATGGTCAGCTTACAAGATGGAATTATGTGGAAAATAGTGTGATAGTTCAACGTGTGTACTGAATGATGAGTTTTTCAGTCTGTATATAGTCCGTATTTGCTGGGGGCATTAACAAGTGAGCAGCTGTATGCCCACCTTCCAAGCACAGGAGACTGAGATTTGATTCTCAGCCAGCCTACTTCTTACGCAGCCACTGCCCATCTGTCCCTGGAAGCTTGCGTGTTGCCATGGTGCTGAAGAGGGAAGACCTGGCAATCAACTTCTGCAAATCAGCTGGTGAAAACCTTATGGGTCACTGCAATCCTAACCCTAGAAGGCTCAGGACTGGGCAGCAATTCTTTCCACGGTCATGGTTAGGGCTGGGAACCCCAGGAAACTCACAGCACTCATTGAAACATCTTCCCCAGGGCCTACCCTCTGACCTCACTGATCTTTGTGTCCTTCAAGCCAAGCAGAGACTTTCTACTCCATTAAGTCTGGGAAACCCAAGGCGTGCTTCTCTGCCCTGTAGGGGCCCTGGGAGTCAGAAAGGACACGATGGCAATGACGGGGGGAGGTCTGGGTTGTTCTTATCTGAGAGACTGATACTCTCTAAGCTACCCTTTAGCCCTTTTCTCGTTCTCTTGACTTCCACCTGTGAGCTTGCTCACTGCCATGGTTTTAGGGTTGATCTCTGTGTTGCCATATGGTAGCAAAAATCCAGCTTAGTAAAATATTTCAGGCTTGGTCTCTGTCCTTTCGCAGCTCTTGCTCATGTGGCTTGGGTGTAGCCATAAACAATTCACAAACAGATAGGTAAGGCTGTGTCTCAATGAAACAACTTGAGGGTTCTATAAAAAGTCTTGTTGCCCATTTGTCTAGATTTGACTTAGTGAACTCCATGGTCCTGTATCTTAACTACCTCTACCAAGATTTCTAAGCAGCAGTTTAATCATTCTATCTACACCTGCATCACTGGAATGGATGCTCTGACACCAGAGACGTACTCTGGGCTGTGTGATCCTGGCCCATAACCTGTCTACATTTGGGCACGTACAGGGGCCAGGAGAAACCCAGGGATGCAACAGTCCCCATAGTTATTGGGAGCCCAAACATCCCGGTGGAGCTACCAGGTAGCTATATTTGAAAGCATTAATGCATGCGTGCGTGGGGGATTTTTTTCAGCTGAGTGGGAGAGGTCTTTACAGAAGGGAGAAGAATGCTACATTTATCAGTGTTTTTCAAACCATCATTGTTCAATAGAATGTTCTGTGAATGGTGGAAATGTGATATATCTGCTGTCTGATACAGCTGCCGCTCAGCACATGGGAATGTTGAGTGCTTTAAATGTGCCAGTGTGGCTGTTGAATTGAATTTATTTTAATTTATTTAAATGGAAAAAATCACTAGCCTTTGGATAGTGCAGCTATAAACAATTTAGACTAACGTTTAGATTTTGTATTCAACAATTCATATACATTTTGTTTCAGCTTATCCATTTAAATCCCCTTAGTTTACTCCACCTTTTCGGTCTTTCCTGTTTCTGTACCTCATCCTTAACTCTGAACTTTGTCCTTGGGCAAATACTGCCCTTTTGATCATAAGTAGTTGATTACTAAGTTCTGGAGCTAGAAGGTGGCTAAGGGCCACAATCTGGGGGTTCCACCAGTCTGACCACTAAGCCTGTTCTCCTGTAGGAATTTGAGTTCTATTCCACAGTTTTCTTCCATTTATTCAGGACCTTTTAAAATCTGTTGGTGGTAGTTGTAGTGGGGCACCATCTAGTTCTGCCGGCCTTGAAGTGATGGAGATTTAGTCTGCATTATTCATTAGAACTCAGACTAATTGTTTCCATGTGTCTTCGAGTTCATTGCTCATCTGGATGCTGAGAGAGCAATATTGGAAGCTTAACTTTCTGGGTATTTGTAAGGAGCACATTTTTTATTAATTGAAATAGCTATCTACAATAATTGCCATTTGATTTTTTGCCCCCAGTACAGAATAGAAGCTTTCTCACTTTGAGCTATCTTCAGATTTCAAGTCCTTAATTGAAGAAGCTCCAACATAATTCTGATGGTGGAGAACCTTTTAATTTTTCTATTCGGAACTAAGGACATTGTACCTGAGGAAATGCAAGGAAGAGTCTTTCCTTTTTGCTTGCCCATATTTGTTGTGTTTAGCTTAAAATTTCTTACTGATAATAATGAAAGATTCTTAACATCAGTAGTGGAGAATAACGTAGATGCTATATTGTTGGAGCTTTATTTAGATAAATTTTTAATCAAATCTTCTAAACTGTGGGTATTCCTCTTTAAATGTCTTGCATTCTTTGCAGCCTTGTTCTCAAAGAAGAAGCATCTGATTACCTTGAATTGGATACAATTAAAAATCTCGTCAGAAAGTATTCACAGTTCATAAACTTTCCCATTTATGTGTGGAGCAGCAAGGTACGTATGTAATGATAAATTAGGTGTGTTACCTTGGCACATACCTAAGGATGTGCCTAAAGAATGATTACGACACCTGTTTTAATAGAAGAGCCTTGATACTGCAGTGGTGATTAAAGCCCTCAGCTGCTCAACCAAACGTTGGCAATTTGAGCCCACTAACTGCCATCTGCTTCTGCCAAGATTCGCAGCAGTAGCAACCCCATGGGACAGTTCTACTCTGTCTGGTGTCACTGTGAGGCGGCATCAGCTCAGTGCCACTTACTGAAGGTTAAATGGAAGTACATTGAGGATATTCCTAGTTGTTGTAAGGGGAGAGTTGTAATTGTACTTCATATTCTGTTAATGAAATAAAAATTATTAAACATAAGTGAGTTTAATTGTACTTTAACTTTCAACTTCAACAGACTGAAACTGTGGAGGAGCCTATGGAAGAAGAAGAGTCCGCCAAAGAGGAAAAGGAAGAATCTGATGATGAAGCTGCAGTAGAGGAAGAAGAAGAAGAAAAGAAACCTAAAACTAAAAAGGTGAGTCTAGCTTGTAACATACACATGATCTGGTTTGTACTAAGCTTCCACCATTAAAATGTAAAGGTCTACTTTGGTAAATGATGGCCATTTCCATAGTAAATAGAAGTCTTGCATGTTGAGAGAAACATTTCGCTTTCACATTTTGATCCAGTTGGCAGTGACCAGACTAGGCTTCGCAGCAGCTGGGTGCTCCACATATGCTTCTGAAATGCACTGGTTACAGCGAGTATCGCTGTGAATGAACTGGGATAAGACTGACCAAAGACTGCTCATTTCAGGTTGAAAAAACTGTCTGGGATTGGGAACTTATGAATGATATCAAACCGATATGGCAGAGACCCTCAAAAGAAGTAGAGGAGGATGAATACAAAGCTTTCTACAAGTCATTTTCAAAGGTAAATAGTCTAAACACTAGCGTTGCTTTTAATGAGTAGATAAACTTGCCCTGCTGGTGGAAGTTGGCGGTGGCCGACAAGTGCTTGCCTTTCACAATGAGCGATCCAGGTGGCCAACTACAACTTGTCTAGCTTCTGGGCTGTGGTTGAAATAATCATGTGTTCAAAAAATTCTGAAGTTATTCACCAATTCAAGCTTACATTTGTGTATTAGTAGTATATTTAGGTTTTATGGGGGGGAAAGGTAGAGTCTCTTGTGTGTTAGGAAATTCATAAGTTTCACCAGAACTTTGAAGTCTCTTTCACTAGTGATAGTCTTCAAGAGTAATGGGTTTCCAGGCACATTATTTCATGGAAATTGAATTACTATGCTCATCATTGTTTCCGAATTATGCCTAAGAAATCAATAGGCCACAGGCTGCCAACCAAAAGGTCGGTGGTTCCCACCCCCCAGCTGCTCCTCTGGAACATGCTGAGGCTCTCAGCTCCCATAAAGATTTATAGTCTCGGAAACCCTAAGTCAGGGTAGCTCTAAGTGGGAGGCAACTCAGTCGTGATGAGGGAGCACGTGATGTTAGAATCAATGCTAACAATGTGTTGACGGAACTGACAGTTTATTTTTTCTATCTTTGAAATGAACTTGTAAGTCATTAAAGACTTGGAAGTCCACTTGTTTTACTTTTCCTCCTTTTTTAGTCACGCAGACTAGTATTTAGATCTGAGGGACAGTAGAATAGTTGTATTATACCAGTTTTAGTACCGTTGGTTTTCTTCATAATCCTATGTGTGTTGTTGTTTTTAAGTCTGTACTTTTTTTTTTGGATGCAGGGAAACGGCTTTTTTTTTTTTTAATCATTTAATTGGGGGCACTTACAGCTCTTACAGCAATCCATACATCTGAGGAGTCTAGGCTTCGCCGGATTGCCAAAGGGACTGTGCATTACAAGAAAGGCTGACGAACCACCTGGCTGTTTGATTTTCACCACAAAACCCATAAAACATGACATTGTGTTTCTGAAGGGCTTTAATGTGATCTTTAATGGGCTGGTTTACATCATCAAACACTTCTTTTGGGAAGTTAGAACTAAGGATAATTACTAAGTCTCATTTCCTTGCCATTTTACTGATCCTTTCAAAAACTAACATGGTTTAAGGTTATTTCACGTGAATGTTTCCCCGGATGTAACATTGTATAAAGCAGAATATGTTAATGGTCTTAGCACGGCTAGAGAAAATAGAATGTCTGCGTGTTTATACTCTTGTGTTCCTTCTGATGTGTTGCTTTTGTGTGCCTGCCTTAGGCTTGCACCCTTACGGCTCTGGTTCTGCTTCCATGCTTCCATTCCCAGGAGTTTTTAACAATAAATTGGCTTTTATCTAGAAATAGGAGCCACGTAGCCGTTTAAGTGTACAGTTCACCATTTTAAAAGCTAGATGGGTGAAACTACCTTTAATAGTATAGCTTATTTAACCCTAAATACTCAAAATGTTTGAACATGTAGCCAACATAAACAGTGCGAGTAAAACAAAGCCCACTGCTGTCAAGTCTGTTCTGCTGCGCTGATGTCTTGTATTTGGTGTACTCTGTCTGCACACTCTGTTATGTCTTTTGCACCCAACAGCACAACTCAGTTCACACCAGGGGCGTTTCAGTGCTCAGTAGCCATATGTGGGTACAGTAATGGCTACTGCAAGTCTGAGGAGTTTTTATCTCTGTCTGGCAGCTGTGTACATAGTTCTATGTATTCACTGTTGGGACCCTTGGTGATGTAGTGGGTTACAAGTTGGGCTGCTAACTGCAAAGTCAGTAGTTGAAAACTGCCTGTGAGTGAAAGGTGAGGTTTTCTGCTCCCATAAAGATTTACAGCGGCAGAAGCACTTCGGCTCTGCTCGGTAGGGTGGGGTCGACTCCATGGCAGGGAGCTCGGTTTATATCAGCTGTTCTCAGGAGCCTTGCTGGTCCTGTGGGATAGACACTGGGTTGTCTACAGTAAGGTCAACAGTTCAAACCCACCAGGCACACAAGAGAAAGACGAAGTTGCCCCTTTACAGATTTATGATCTCAGAGCCTTTAGGGTTGCTATAATTTGGAATAGATTCAATAGCAGTTTGATGTTTGGGGTTTAGGTCCTATTTCATGGAAGAGATGTGTTTCTGAGTACTTTTGTAGCAGTGCACACATGATTTGCATATTGTATATTAGAGGAAAGAACCTCCTACCTGTATTATTTGGTCTTTAAGCAGGGTTATGGTTTGCCTGCCCTATTTACTTACACAAATAAAATCTAGACCCATCATCCGTCCTCCTTAGGAATAGACTACTACTATTAATCGTCATTATCAGAACAACTATTTAGCCTTTTGATTTCTTCACGTTGTGGCACCGCCCACCTTTTTTTTTTTTTTGGTAAGAACTTTTCATTTAACTGCTAGAATATGCATGTACCTACCTCTGAATATATGTTTAGCCTTTGCAGCTTTTCCTTATGCTTTCTGAATGACGCATATGCCCATTTCCCCTAGGAAAGTGATGACCCAATGGCCTATATCCACTTCACGGCTGAAGGGGAGGTTACCTTCAAATCCATCTTGTTCGTGCCCACTTCTGCTCCACGGGGTCTGTTTGACGAGTACGGATCCAAGAAGAGTGACTACATTAAGGTGGCTTTTTCAGTGGTGTTAACCGAGTCTGAAATGTGCAAGGTCTTGTTTCCGACAAAGTGACAATTCCCTCTCCTTTCAGCTGTATGTGCGCCGAGTGTTCATCACGGACGACTTCCATGACATGATGCCCAAGTACCTTAACTTTGTCAAGGGTGTGGTAAGTGTCTGCAGCCTGGCTGTGGATTGTTGTTGGGTGAGGGTTTCTGCAGTGTATTCATTGCTTATTGAACTTCCTGTTGCTCTCTGAAGGTGGACTCTGATGACCTCCCATTGAATGTTTCCCGTGAGACCCTTCAGCAGCATAAGTTGCTTAAAGTAAGTGCCTTGGGAAAGGACTGGCTGCTTGGCTCTCCTGATTGGGGTTGAGAGGACAAGCCCTGTTAGTGACCAGACTGTCTGGTCCTTGGTTGTTCAGATAAGAAACTTGATTTCACTCAGTTTGTCAGATCCTGAGAAATTAGTTCTTGTCTCCCATCCCCCATGCATTATTACACAAATTATTTTCAAACAAAGAAGAGTTGAAAGAACTGTATGGTAAACACTGTGTCTGTCTGTCTGTCTGTGTCTGTTGGTTCCTGACTAACATTTTGCCAGGTAGCTTTCTTAACCTAGCCATCCATTTTTCAAACCTTTTTTTCTTTTTAAAAATAAATATTTTTTTCTAGACTCCATAATGAGAAGACATTAGTATTTAAATTTTAAAACTATTGAAAATAGTTAGGTCTAGAGAGAGAGATTATTGAGAGTATCAACCACAAGTGATCTTGTGACTGGCAGTTTAGTTTGGGGTCATTGCAGCAGCATAGGCTCTGGGGAGCTCAAATGGCTAAGTGTTCAACCATGAGCTCAATGGTTGGTGGTTTGGGGCCACCAGAGCCCCCACCCACCACCCCCAGGGTCGTGCGTGCACATTTGCTAGTGAAGGTCACAACTTAAAAGAAGCAGGTCTCTGCACCCCTGGGTGGCCATGGGTTGCAGTGGGCTGAAGGCAGTGGAGTTGCTCCACTGTTGCCTAGCTCTTGAGGCAAAGCAGCAACACTGCCTTCTCTCTGTATGGACTCCGCCCCTTCTACCCTGATAGCGTCCTTAATGTAGATTCTCAAATATACTTGCGACCCTTCCTTCTCGCTCTCATCATTTTAGGTAATCAGAAAGAAGCTTGTCCGTAAAACTCTGGATATGATCAAGAAGATTGCTGATGAGAAATACAATGATACTTTCTGGAAAGAATTTGGCACCAACATCAAGCTGGGTGTGATTGAAGACCACTCCAATAGAACACGTCTTGCCAAACTTCTTCGATTCCAGTCCTCTCATCATGAAACCGACATTACCAGTCTAGACCAGTATGTGGAAAGGATGAAGGAAAAGCAGGACAAAATCTACTTTATGGCTGGCTCCAGCCGGAAAGAGGTGAGAATGTAGCTTGAGCTTCTCTTCAAAAGGAAAGACGCAAAGGCTGATTATAACTAACGGGAGGTCTTCAGAGCCCTGGCCAGTCATTGATAGGAAGTCATTTCGTGTCTGCATTCTCAACAATTCATCTGTAGAATAGGGTGCTTGATAGGACACTTGTCAGATGAGCAAATCTGCCAGCGCTAGATTGGAAAGACTGGTTACTCCCCTTCGTTTTGTAGGCTGAATCCTCTCCGTTCGTCGAACGACTTCTGAAGAAAGGCTATGAAGTGATTTATCTCACAGAACCTGTGGACGAGTACTGCATTCAGGCCCTCCCCGAGTTTGATGGGAAGAGATTCCAGAATGTGGCCAAGGAAGGAATCAAGTTTGACGAAAGTGAAAAGACGAAGGAGAATCGTGAAGCAGTAGAGAAAGAATTTGAGCCACTGCTGACCTGGATGAAAGACAAAGCCCTCAAGGACAAGGTATTCTAGCATTCTAACCCTTGCCTCTGGGTTGTGTTTGGTTTTGCCATTAAACTTTGCTCTGCCATCGTGGGATATTATGTAACCATTGACTGATTTAAAAAAAAAAAATTTTTTTAAGAACCTTAAAATGTGTGAACGGGAAAGAATTACAAGGATGATAGTAGTGGTTATTCTATATCTGGGGAGTATTTAGCTTTGAGAAATGAACATTTTCTGTAGTTTTATGTTATATAATTTTTGAAGTTACTTTTGAGTTGGAATTTAGGTATTTTTATTTCTGACTGAAAATTTGATGTCTCCTAGGAATTCCTAAACCTGAATAAAAGGTTCATTTATGGTGTGAAGTGATGGATCCTAAAAAGTTGAAATAAAATGACATCGTTAGTGGCCCTTACGTGTCTTTGACATTGCCTTTCTTTTGTCCTAAGATTGAGAAGGCCGTGGTGTCTCAGCGCCTGACCGAGTCTCCGTGTGCTCTCGTGGCCAGCCAGTACGGCTGGTCCGGCAACATGGAGAGGATCATGAAGGCCCAGGCCTACCAGACGGGCAAGGACATCTCGACCAAGTAAGCACCCTGGGGGATCCCCTGTCGGACTGGCCTTCCTGGGGGACGGGGCGCCAGCTCTGCCACAGAGGGGTTTGGTGCTTTGAGTCTAATGTAGTTGAGGCACAGACAACAAATTGGCGGAGGGATTCTTGTGGCATTGATAGAAAGAGCTTGGGCTCTTCAGATACTGTTTTGTATTTTATATTCAGACGGATTTTATGACTGGTAAGCATCCTGTGCTTATTTTTGCATAGTTGATACTATTGGATCTGGTCTCTGAACTTTCTAATAGTAGGTTACCTGTCTCACATGGATCAGATTCTTTATGGAATTTCTCATAAAATAAAGGGTAAAAGGCCAGCATTTTGAACTCAAGGACTGGTGGTAAACAGGGTCACTCTTGCCCTCTGTTTTCATGGGCTTATATTCGATTGTTATGAGCAGCCTTGGAGTTGACTTACTCCTCCTGTATGCTCTCTTTCTCCACTCAGAATATTTCCTCTCTTCGTTGCTACCTGCACATACTTTTTCTTCCATGGTCTAGGTTAAAAATCTTCTTGAAACCCATTCTCAGAAATAAAGTTTCTTGGTTCTGAAACTCAGTTCCAAAATACTATACACACACACATTTTTATCATTAATCTCTGGTTTACTATGTAATGTTTATACTATCAAACGGTAAAACGTTTTTGCTCTCTGGCTATCTATCTATCTGTCTATCATCTATATATTAGGTGGGAGAAGAACAGTAATCTATCTTAGACCTCCAATTGCCTTCAAGTGGTTTCCAGGTACTAAATGTCCACAAAATATTAATTTCCATAGCTGATTGCATATCCTATTGTGTCCACGCCCTGCTGGTTAAAGTGGACATAGCTTACAATTTTGTAGCACTCAGACTCATTTTTGTAGCACTCAGCACTCAGACATCAAAGCAAGTCAGTCTCACAAGCTCGCAAATTGCTCAGGAAGTGCTGTCAGCCATCTCTGCTCCCATGAAGATTACCAGTGACCGAGTCAGAACTGACATCCTGACAGTGGTTTTGGGTTTTTGGTGTGTAGATAAGAACAGGAAACTTGGTGGCACAGTGGGTAAGTTCTTGCTGCTAACCAAAAAGGTCAGCAGTTTGAACCCACCAGCCACTCTACAGGAGATGTGGCAATAAGATACCCTTTGGGGCAGTTGTCCTCTGTTCCAGAGGGTCGCTGTGAGTTGAAATTTGATTCACCAGCCCTGGGTAGAGGGAGCTACGGACAGACCTGCTCTCCCATGGGAGCTGGGGTTTGCAAGCAGCTGAGCTCCAGGACCCTCTTAAGGGCCAGCTGGGGTGTGTCCTAGGAGGCAACCTTGGATTAACACTCCAGGGGGTCCAGAGACTTTTCAGACCCAGGGCTGGGAGACTGAGCGACAGCTAGACAGGAGCGAGGAGGGATGGGCGACACAGTGAGTCACCCCTCAACAAAGGCACTTGGAGATGTCAGTGAATTAAATACTACCCTTCATTGCATGTTTTCATCTCCCCTTAAGAGAGGAAAATGCCAGATGTAGAAATCAGTAAACTGACTTTTCCCCCCAAGAGTTATTCTCTGCATAATATTCTATTACAGAAGTTTTGTAATAGGAAAGGCAAGTGCATAGACCTTTAGAACATGCATGCTTTTTAATTATTTTTTAAATTTTATCAGGGGCTCATACAAGTCTTATCACAATCCATACATACACCAATTGTATAAAGCACATTTGTACATTGTTCCTCATCATTCTCAAAACATTTGCTCTCCACGTAAGCCCCTGGCATCAGCTCCTCATTTTCCCCCCTCCCTCCCCGCTCCCCCCTCCCTCATGAACCCTTGATAATTTATAAATTGTTATTTTGTCATATCTTGCCCTGTCCGGCGTCTCCCTTCACCCACTTTTCTGTTGTCCGTCCCCCAGGGAGGAGGTTACTTGTAGATCCTTATAACTGGTTCCCCCTCTCTAACATGCGTGTTTTTTAATGTTCTTCTTTCCTCTCTTCACAGTTATTATGCCAGTCAGAAGAAAACACTGGAAATTAACCCCAGACACCCACTGATCAGAACCCTGCTCCGGCGGGTGCAGGTGAGGGCTGCCACGGCCACCCTCCTATTTTAGGGTGTCTTTGGAGCGTGTTTTGCGTGATCATCAAGTGTGCCTTCTCCCCATGCAGGAAGACGAAAATGACCAGACGGTGTCCGACCTTGCTGTGGTTTTGTACGAAACGGCTACGCTACGGTCGGGGTATCTCTTACCAGACACGAAAGCCTATGGAGAGAGGATAGAAAGAATGCTTCGCCTCAGTCTCAACATTGACCCTGAGGCAAAGGTTGGTGACTTTGGTCTCCTTCACTTCGGTGATGGTTTCGTCCTTATTTTTTTAAGCCCCAAGAAATATGGCTAATTTCTACTTTTTGAAGTAATTTTATGAATGCTTGAATCCCCACAGTTCAAGCAGTGAGCTATAAATTGATATGAGAGTCCCCTTTTGTGTCCTGTCTGTAAACTAAATTTACCCAAAGGACTGTTCTGCCATTCCGAAGTTAATTAGGCTCTTAAACATTTAAATCTTAGGTTCCCAAACTTTATTGGCTTACCACCCCCTTTTCAGGAAAAAAAAAAATTGCTCAGTGGCCCCCCTGGCAATGAAAATCTTTTATATACTGTAGCCCATAATCCAGGGCAAAGTGTAAGAATCTGTTTTTGCAGCCCCCTGGATTGTTCCAGCAAGCACACCCTGTGGTGGGGTGGGGACAGGCCAGTCACACCCACTTTGGGAAACTGATTTAAAGGAGTCAGTGGAAATAAGACTGCAGGTGTTGTGAGCTGATGAATATTGCATGGGTTTTGTCCACAAGGTGGAGGAAGAACCCGAAGAAGAGCCTGAAGACGCAACAGACGACACAACGGAAGACGCGGAGCAAGACGATGATGAAGAAATGGACGAAGATGAACAAGAAACAGAAAAGGTATAACCAATCAGGTTTATTCCCACTTGCCAAACACTGCCAGCAACTCGTAGTGTCTGATTTTTCGGTAGCCCACGATGTTTCTGTTTTATTCCTTACATCTGCTGTTTGCTTGTTCTTTTTCATGGGCCATTGCTCTTGTTGCCGCTTAAATTCCTTGGCAGATAAACGTGGTAACGTTCTGGAATACCCAGAAATCAGCTGGGCCCCTTTGAATTATGGTTTCCATGTGAGAACCCTCTGGAAGTGATGGTTTTCTATGCTTGACTTGTGATGCCTTCTGCCTGGCCTTTGTTTCCACAGCTATCTGAAAGAGATGAATTGTAAACAAGACTCTTCACCGCCGGGATTCTGAGTGGAGAGAGAATGTGAAGTTTCAGTCATTTCTTTTGGGAGAGACTTGTTTTGGATGCTCCCCCCGCCCCCTTCTCCCCTGCACTGTAAACTTGGGATTATGGGTCACAGGAAGAAGTGGGTTTTTTTAGTTAAAATTTTTTTTAACATTCCTCATGAATGTAAATTTGTACTATTTAACTGACTATTCTTGGTGTAAAATCTTGTCATGTGTATAAAAATAAAAACGTTCCCAGATAAAAAAGGGAAGAAAGTGAATCAATTTCCCCTCCCAACTGTTTAATTGGCAAATAATTTACATTTAATTCAATAGTTCAATCATAGCAAGGAGAATTGTATAATCAACCCACATCAATTTTAGACCATTCCATTTCTCCAACCCCCAATGTGCCACCCCATGGGTTGAATCACCTTTAAGATGAGTTATGCAATCACAATCCATTCTAAGACTCCCTCCCTCTCCTGTCTTCATTAGTTACTCTGAAATCCCCTTTCCTCCCTATCATCTACTC